GCCAGTCAGTCACTACTTGTGAGTATGAGATTTGCAATAGCAGTTATGGATCAATACCCCAGAGAGATCAGCCAGTCGCTTGTCTGCAATTTTAAATGTGAATAAGCTGGGCACAGGCGGAATAATAGAGTGACCGTGTTGTGCAGCAAACGAGTAACCCTGCAAGTAAGAGAACATGAAAGGGAGGTAGTATATTGTGTCTGCTGTCTAGTAGAGTAAGCATCTATTCACATACCTGCTGGCTACTGCCTGTCGCAACCAAGACATAATTGGCATCGATGTAATCAACAAAATCAACAGTACGCTTCTGAACTTCCACAAGAAATTTCCCATTGTCATTGACAGATGCACCCGACACGGATTTACCAGCCTGCAGGGAAACTTCAAAAAGAACTCAATTTCAGAAATTGTTTCTTCGCGGTGAAGGGCGTGTGGATGAATGGACAGCAGATTCATATAGCATTTAGCTACCTCCAAGTCTTCTCGCTTCATTCAGCAGGCAGTCTACTACCGAAGCAGAGTTGTCGGTGACAGGAAAGACTCTTCCATCGTCTTCGGTCTGACACGGCAATCAAAACAGTAGACACACATAAGAAAAACTGGCTTCAGACAATGCACAAGCAAAGATCCTGATGTAAATTAAGATTACCTTAAGCTCCACACCATGATCCGAAAACCAGTGCATGGTATCCTGTGGCCCATGGGTGCGAAAGAAGGATCCCCGGAGTTCTTTGTACCCCCTAGGATAATTTCTCGCAAGTCCCTGAGGATCAAATAATATTTGACTGGTGACAAAGGCAGACTTACAAAACACATGTAATAAGCGTAAATCAATTTTACGGTAACGAACCAAAATGGTACACACATTGCCACCATCTAATTCAGTCGATGAATGGACAGCAAACTCACTGACTGACACAGCACAATGGCTAGAATACAGACGGACACACCATGCATTCCTAGCATATGTCTAGGCCACAGTTGCAATGCAGCAGAGCATGCAATTGAAAAGCAATCGACGCAGCAGAGTATGGGGCGTACACGTACCGATGGGTCGAGCTGGTGCCCGTTGGTGACATTGCACCGCCCTCCGCCGGAGATCTTGACCTGCAGCCATCCATTCCAGCAATTCATACTTAAGCAACACCATAGCAGTAGATTTTCAGTCCAATGGAAATCAAGGCATTGGCATGGTTGGTACCTTGGACAAGAACTTCCCTTTCTCTATGACCACCACGTTGAGGTGGGGAGCCAGGGTCTTGGCCCTTATCGACGCGTACACCCCGGCGGCGCCGCCGCCCACCACAACCAGCGACTGCTCATCCTCCTACATGGCGAACACCGGCGTCAGGAGCTAGGGGCGGCGGCTGAGCTGGCGTGGCCGAGCAGTAGTTACCTGCTCGCGGGCGTGGCCGGAGGGCGCCGAGGCGCAGAAGGAGGTGGAGACCGAGGAGGAGCAGCGCCTCCCGCGCAAGACGAAGGGGGTGGCGCGGCGAGCGGCGGCGGCGGCGGCGGGCTGGAGCCACGGCCACTGCGGCGGCATTTTCGTCGACGAATTAGGTGGAAGGCTGGACGCCAAGGTGCGATTGGATAGTGTGGACCCAATGGGCCTGGACTTGCTATAGTGTGGGCCGGCTTTATTGGGCTGGAGCCCAGATTGACATGTAGGTTTTCTAGGTCAAAAAATGGTACCCAAGACAGCATGATCGACGACCTCGAGGAGCTGCTAGTGGTTCTTTGTGGTGTTTGGTTTGCTTGTCGACCTCTTTTATTTCATTTCAACATGGCATCTTATTAGTCTTGCCATCCTTCTTCAATTTGAAACGGTTATAGATGGTTTCTTCCGTCTTCAATTTGTTTTTGTTAAGGTGTTCATTTTCAATTTGAAACGGCACCAGTACAAAAAGAGATGGATCGTGCACTACTGATTAACATTGCTTCCTAAATAGCATTTAAAAAAATATTAACATTGCTTCCTAATTGTTAATAATTATTGAAAAAATATTAACTTACTCAACCACCAGGACAGACAAGATGCTACAGAAAACAGTTTGATGATACAGGACTGTACAACCCTGTAACTGTAAGTTACAGCAATGTACAGCAAGACAACAAGCTATATAAAGCTTCAGACAATGTACAACAAGACAACAAGCTACATAAAGTTTCTCTACATAAAGCTTGTATTGATCCAGCTTCTTCAAATCCCTGGAAAGTAATGACTTCTTGACAATCTAAGCTTGGACAAGGTAATTAAGAAACATCAAGTAGAGAAACTGATATGTAAACACACATTCAGGTTGCATCAGCAACAAAAATTCATGAAGAAACTAAATAAATAAAAAGCATACACTTGCTGCATTGCTGCAAGTTAGCTGAAGATGAAGGATCCATCATGTTCTGGGGAAATTCATACACTTCAGACAATGTGCCACATGTGTGGAACATAAAGAGAGTAATAATGAAGCTGAGAAAAGCACGGATAACCATCAGTTACGGCAGCCTGAAAAGGAAAATGAGTATTTAAATGAAGAGGGTAATGCTTGGAAAATGGAAATACTGTAGCACACGAAGGAAATGTCATGAACAATGAGAGCATTATAATGCCGCACCTGGAAATGGAGTTCAACACAAGAGAAGGACAAGAATTCTTCAGACTTCTATTTGATTGTCGCCGGATTCTCAGTTACCAATGTTGCAGCATCGAGAACAGCAAACAAGATGAGGTACAATGAATATAAAAGAATCACAATGAACTGTAACAAACATGGCAAAACAAAAGAAGTAGAAAGAGAAAGTATAGTACCTATTAGGAGGACAACAGTTATATCAAAATCAGAGTGCTAGGTAGTGATGGTGATCTCAGAAAGCGGTGGCCACTGGAAAATCCACTATCATCTCACTATAGAATAAAACAGTCTCAAAAGAACTACTAAAATTTACATAAGCCATAGGACCATAAATCCATCATCAATGTATTATAAATTAAACACCGTGAAACTAATAATATACATTGAGACAAATTCATGTGATCAAGCATTCTATATGAACTCACTGTACGAACAACAATGACACACTATATGGAGCTACAGCTTCTAGAATAAATTACAAAATATATAGGGCAGTGTAAATCCACCATCACCATACTGTAAATTCAAAATCTATAGGACAGTGTAAATCCACCATCACCATATTGTAAATATGCAGCCAGATTAGTTTGTGTGATGAAGCATTCTATATCAGCTCACTGTACAAACAACAGTCACCAACTTTGTGGAGTAACTGTAAATTACAAAATCTATAAGACAGTAAATCCAACATCAGGACCTTGTAAATTCAACATCAAGGTGCTGTATATGCATTCAAACTAATTCCAGTAATTATATATGCATTCAAACAACATTAGCATTCTTGTAAACTGAAAACAACATTGTTGGTTACCTATTACACATTCTTGAAACAAAATTATATGATGATACTCATATCTATCAGACAAACTTTGGGCTATTGTGTAATAGCATGGTTCAGATTAGCTTCTTCAAATCACAGGGGTCAGAGAAACAAACTAACTCTCCTTTTGGCTATTGTGCAGTAGCATGGTTCAGTTCAACCGCTAGACCAAAACAAGTCCGAATTAGTATTACTCGAGTAGTTTGAATGATGTACCTTGGCTACACGGGCAGATGTAACTCCGATGAAGTCGGCAGTACGGAGAAATTCCGGCCAGGTTGGCAGAACAGTGAGATTTCCATGACTTTGGCAGAACGGCAAGACACCAATGTCGAGCACGGACGAAACAATGCAACTGGGTTGGGGCTTCGGTCGAGGGAGTGGATGTGTATTTATATGTGTTCGGCCTCTTGAACGGCTAAAGCAGTCCCTGCCGGACATCCCATGGGCACACGAAGGATTGTATCAAGACAAACACATTGCAATCAAGTATGTGGAATCCATTTATTAGTGACTCACTTTCGAAACATGATGCCCTCTTGAAAATAAATGAGACCCGCCCATCACTTATTTGCGAACTACTTTTCAGTGTCTTCTATCGATGATAAGTGAGACAAATATGGAACTTAATAATTAGCAGTTTCATTTTGATATGCGCAATCTCAACCTTGAATCAAACAGGGAACAATAAGACTTGAAGCACTACAGCAGGAGTCAGTTGTCAAAATTATTGTACCAACTTTCAAACTTGAAGCACTACAGACTTGAATGAACTTTCAGATATGAATCAACGTTCAGAATTGAATTAACGCAACGGTAAGGTGTCATATCTATCCTTGAGGTTCAATTAACAACACAACATGTCACACGATGATCAACTTAAGCAGCATGTATAACAAATTGTGCAATTTGCACAGGTTCCTACCAATATATACCATGTAAATGCAGTGTGTTTCACACCAATATATCGGGATTGAGGGGGGGGGGGGGACTTACAGTCTGCACGTCGGTACCATCGATCGTTATTGGTGGCATATCCAAGAGGCGAACCTCCTTGGCCTCCACTTGAGTTCAATCGGATGCCTTTGGAACCTGCACGCGCACACACAACAGCGACATCAAAACCAATTAATCTACACTTGAATACACCTTTTAATCTTTAATTTGCACAGGACATTACCTCTTTTTATCTTCAAATAGATATTTTGTATTTGCTCAAAATCTATGGTGATGCTAACCGGCTGAGTAGAACAATCTATGGTCTTGCTGCTTCTAAGCTGCATATAAAGTAGTTAACACAGTAACTAAAATACAGAGAAAGGCATGTGCTTTCCCAGCCTCACCATTATTGAGATAAACAACAGCGAGAAAAGCAACAACTCAATTTCCCACAAATCCATAATGTGTAATCAAAAATTAATACCTATATTTTTTGTCTATCTATAATGCAATATTACGAATGGAATAACTTCAAAAGTTAAACAACGACAATTCAGTAAACACATCATTGGTCCAAAATATAATGATGTTTAAACTTAAAATCAAGGGACGCAGGTCCTGCCTGAAGAACTGCCGTCAAAAGTTCAGCAAACATAGCACAGACTGTAACTTTCTGAAAAGGTGCAATCTCTAGCCCATTAAGCATATTTTGGAGCACAAACATAACTAATAAAAAAGGGTAAGATTATTGAAAGAGTGTAGCTTACCAAGATCATTCCTTTTTCTTGAATACAATGTGGTCCTAAACTTCCGATCATCATTGCTGCAGTACAGACAACAGAGAAGCTTTGACTTGATTAGATTTAGAACTGATCTTCAGTAGTCTTCCTGCGTCGTAGGGTACCATATTCCCATGAAGCTAATATCAACAAAATAAACGTCTTACTCCAAAGTCTTGAGGAACATAATAAAGATATACGTAGGAAATTAATATAGAGTAATCCAAAAGGATAACTGATCAATTGAAAGGTATCTACAAAATAAATGTCTTACTCCAAAGTCTTGAGGAAGATAATAAAGATATACATAAGGAATTAATATAGAGTAATCCAAAAAGAGAACTAATCAATTGAAAGGTATCCAGATCGTATGAGGAATGAAACAACACCTTCATTAACATCTCAGACCAGGAAGAACCAATCTAACAATAGTCAAATAAATAGAGGAGCAGGCATACCCGAATTCCACTGCAGAAAGAGTGGTTGATTACTTTTCACGCTTATTCCTCAATAGGTATTTTTATCATATGGATCAAATGAACTCTAGCCATAACTCATCATTCTTGGTATGGTTTGTGGCACAGGATGGTGGTGTCGCACTCCTGCAATTGAGATGTGTTTAAAGTATGAACACCAGCTGCATTCACCTCAACTTAACTCAGAAAATAAATCCGCGCAAAGGGAAATTCAAAAGAAAGATAATAGTTGATAGAAACCTAGATCGAACTGAGTAAGAAATAGCTCAGATTAAGCATAACTTGGCCGGAAAATAAAATACCTAGGACTCTGATGTATGGGTTTTCTCTAACTCCACAAGAATTTTTATTTGGGGCAGTGTTTTCTATTGCAGAAAGTCTAACACAAGACTATGCATCAATTTTATGCCAACAATGTATGGATAAAGTAATCTTTACTGAATACAATTCAGAAAAAATGCCGCCAACTACAGGTAGTACCCAGAAAGCTAGTAAAGCTACATAGGTTCACGACATAGCAAGGAAATTCCAATATGTACGTATCAACCAAAATCTCTTATTTGCAAGATTAAAAATCTACACCTGAATGCATCTGTAAGAGGGAAAGAAAGAGGCAGCGGGTCAGCAATCGCAAGATGACCTGGGCCTTGGCATGACCATGTGATGCGCGGGGCTGCAACTCCGGCTAGCCACCGGCGAGCAGCAGCAGGACCACCACGCTGTTCTCTCTCCCTCTAGCCTCCCATCTTCTTCCCGTCCTCTTTTTTCTCTCCCGCTCATCTCTCTCTTCTCTCACTGGCGTAGGCCATGCCATGCCCGCCAGCCGTCGTGCTCCAAGCTCCGGCCACCTTCCTTCCAGATCCGCCGCCTGCGCTCCATTTCCCACCGGATCCTGCGAG